GGGGGGGGTTGGACTTCCCATCTAATTTCATACTGATAGAATTCTTGAAAACAGTAATGTCTTTATTTTCAGTATTGATACCTTTATGTATTTTTATTGTACTTGTAAATTATGTTAAGAAAGAAAAAATAGAAGCACAATTTCCTATCCTTTGATACAAACGTATTCCAGCTAGTATTTTATATTTATGACAAAGTCTTTAAGGGTATCTACCACCGGCCCTAGTTTTGAACTACTTTCCAGAGCCAGTGGCATTCTACCACTCACCATCTATGCTAAGGGATTAACTGTTACTCTTATAACGCACCCACAACTTAAAATGCGGAGAATATTTTGTGGTGTCACACGAATTCGAACCCGGCTCGCCAGCTATAAAATCCAGAGTTTTACCACAGGACCAACCCATACCCCTGTGTACTTGAGCCCACCAAATTTTTTCATTGGATTATTGAAACTAAAATGCTTCATCTCGATATAACTCAAGCAGACACTTCAAAAACCACAACACAACTTATAACCAGGAAAGATGGAAACACCAAAAGAAAAACAAACAAAAGATCTAATATTCGAAGCTCATGATCCTATAAAACATTATTTTATGCCACTGATAACAAAAATTCACCTTGAACACTGCACGGCCTTGAGAAAGTGAAAACAGCTCTGAACCTGTCCTTGAATAAGATAGAACAGGCCAATTTTTTGTATATGATTCTTAAAAAATCAAAATGCTTCAAGTCTATTAAATATCTAAATAAACTGTGGCCATGACCAGCGTTGGCGATTCGGTCAAGGCCAAGAAATGTAAGCTAATGTGGTGGCGCCACCTAGTATATGAAAGATACAAAACTGAGGGAACGCATTTCAGTCTAGAGACACTTTTTGGAGATTTTGTAAGCACGATAGAAATTAATGTGGAGATAGGAATCTTAAAAGTAAGAATGATTAGATTCACAAATTATTATTATATAAAATCCGAGTTAAAAGTTTGCCAGCAATAACAATGATAAAGGAGTGGTTTACTTCGACGTCTGATTGTTAATAGGCGGCACTCACTCCTGGTAAAAAAAAAAAAAAAAAATCAAGCTAACAAAACACGTGCTCTAGCGATGTTTAAGATGACAATTTAAGATATATGGAAAAAAATCAAAAAGTGTGTAGCAATAATTAGCGGTCATATTAAGATAACCAGAACACTGGTTAAAATGAAATGACAAAGAGCAAGGTCATATGATTTAATTATTTTAGTTTTTGTTTTGAAACTTAATAAAACTATTCATATCACTTTTAGACATGATAAATATTAAAAACGACAAAACAGAAATGTGTAGTATTTCCCTCAATACGTTCAACTGTAAATGTAAAGTAAAATATAGGACATTTCCAATTGCAATAGTATTTTAAAGGAGTTTATAAACCAGAATTCGCTATTAGATTTTCAGTACATAAATATATGTTAGTTATAAACAGTTTAATACAATCAGGTTATGCGATTCTATGAATTCATTATTTATTAGTTCTGCTGTTCATTTACTGTAAATTTATTCACCCATTCCTTTCAAGTAGGATGCAATATTATTATATTAATGACTACGTTATTACAATTGACCTTGGCCTTCACAAGTACAAAAACAGGATTTGTTGAGAAATCTACCTCGTACAATCGAGCGTTATTTTGGCTTGGCTTTTTGCCAAAAGTACCGTTACTCATTAAATTGAGGCGAAACAAAATATTTGTGTTTTTGCAGTAAAATATCATGCTATTCATAACATACGAATTGGCAAATATTTCAATTTACCTTTCATTAGCACAAGTGCATCAGTCATTTTTTTATTATATAGTTAAACTTACAATTATACAAAGGTAAAATATAACTTACTTTAGATTACTCAAGATTTTTTGGAAGTTTTCCAGGTATTGTGCTGAAAGTTGGTCAGATGAATTAGCGGAGAATTAAATGAGCAATTACTTTAGCCAAGAAAAAGCTGCTAGATGTAATAAACCTTTACTTACAATTACAAATCCTGCTATAACGACTACTTGTAAACCTCATAAACAATTATTAATATAGTATTTCTAAAAAAATAAACAAGTGAAACACTTGGGAGAAAAGGATACAAAAATCCCAATGGGATTAGACGCAAGTCTTCTAATTCTGACGGAGATTAGGAATCCAACCAGGAAGGTTTTTTTAAGTTTGATTAAACGTTAAACAAAACAAAAATCACTTTTTAATACAATTTATTACGCAAAACTGACGTAAGTTACCCCAATTGTTGTCTAATCACAGCAGAATCAACGACGACAAATAGTCAGTTGAACTTCAAGTTACGTGTTGTCCAAAGGTTGTGACTTTATCTGAAACTTCCAGACATTTCTGTACATATACTTCAAGTTCGTAAATGGTATTACATCCTCTTGTACTCCTTATCATATATAAAATGTGTATGACACTTTACCAATTGTTTACAAGCCGCTTGTTAAACGACCACAATTTCAAGGTTACCTTTGATAACAAATACTTGCAAAGCCCTGTTAAATACAGTCTGTCTTTGTTCATAATATCATGGAAGCTCGCTGAAAGTAGGTTTGTTAATCTTTATCTTTGAACACGCCACTATCACAAATAGACCTACGGAGAGTATCTCAAATCGGAGTAATTTGTGAAGCTTTTCTACAAAGTGAGGCTAAAACGTCATGATCATGCGTAGAGGTCTACACGTGATAAATGGCCTTGAACATCAACTACGTAGAGGTGAAGATCAAAAGAGGCTAAACGTTTGCCAGAAGTCAAGCGTATAACTAAACGTTATTGAACCTATAATTCATAATATAGTTCTAAATATATTTACCTTTATTGTAATTCTATACTGAGGTTTCCTTAAACGTTTATTTTTAAGTGTGTTTTTTTTTCATGATTTCCATCTATACCACATCCGAAACTTCAACATTCGCATCTCTTCGCTCCTATTGTACGTAATTAGAGGTTTAAACTGCGAGCTTTAGTTACGAAAACGACTTTTCTCTTGCACCAAATAACTGATATGTTCTGTAATATTTCCATGCGATATACAAACTCTAGTAAAACGTTTCTTTTTTGTTTGTTTGTTTTTTAGTTAACCCAAACTAGTAATTAGATTTCGTCTGGAGTTTGCAGAAATTTTGGCTTTGTCTTTGCAACGATGAAGTTTGTTGCTGCATTTTGTCACTATCTTCGTACAAACGGGCGTTTCGCTTATTATTTGTGTCAGAAGACCGCAGTAGTATTTTATAAAGCTGTAAACTGCGAAGTTTGCGTTGAGTTAAATAACTTATGACCCGCGCTTTTTTTAATTTTTACTGATTTGACAACTGACTACTTTTACGCTTTCTGTTGTAGTTAATATGTCTCGTAAGTACAGTGCATGAGGGTAAGGGATCACAAAGACGACAAATATGGCATGTTCCTTTCTTTCGTTTTTGTGTGTTCATCACTTACTCTGCCAGTTACTACTGTTTCCATGCTTCCTGGTATCCAACTGAAAATCTGAAAGCTGTGTTGAAATCAGCTCAACTAATGTAGCTAAATTGTTTACTAATAATTACAGTTGCGCTTTTTCGATTATGTGTTTCATAGTTTGTTTCGGCCAAACTTTTAATAAAGTATCCTACTTTTTCGCGGCCGCGGGTCTTATAAAAACTATTAATATACAAGTTTACTCCGAGTAGAACAAATAACGACAAGCTACAGTAATGAGAACAAAACACTTTAAATACACACGTATATACGTTTTCTTGTTTTGTTTGTATATATGAGATTTACTGAGGGTTGAGTGCGTTATATTAAAACGGTTTTGAATTTGAAAATCAGCAATTCACGTGAAAACCACAGCCGTTATTAAAGTCGTAGTGGACGGAATTTATCATCTGAACAATGATATAGGTAAGCTATAGTTTCAGTGTCATAAGTTACTTGATTTTTAGATGGATCATGATTATGAAGCTAGAAAGTCCATAAAATTAGTGGTAGAATCTAGAAACTTCTCGTTGTTTTTAGAAGTAAGAATTCAGTATAAGCACAAGAATGTGTGATCCAATGTTTGTTGAAATTCGCTCAAAGCTACTCGAGACCTATCTGAGCTAGCCGTACCGAATTTCGAAGCAGTTGACTAGAGGGACGGCAGCTAGTTAACATCACCACCAACTCTTGGGCTACTCAAACTGAGTAGTGGAACTGACTGTCTTATTATAACGCTCCCACTGCTGAAAGAGCGAGCATGTTCGGTGATGGGATTTAAACTCGCGACCCGCAAATTGTGACTCAAGCGCCCTAACCACCAGGCTATTATAGGCCCGGATGATTGGGGAAGGATTGATTAAGTTGTTGATCAAGTAAGGTTATTGATATCATTAAGAGTTAGTGCTTCTGTAAGCTAATCAGTAAGTTAGTCAGATTTGTTATTAATCAATGAAATTTATTTTAAGAAAATTTTTTTGGCACGTGTGTAATGTTTAATGTTAAAAAACTCACAATTTTTAAAAAACAACGATTATTTTATACACAATTCTATAAAAATGAGATTGTTTCCAGTATCCAAGTTACTAAACTACAATAAATTACTGTACTGGATAAAAAGTTGTAAAAAAACCATATGAGACTGGAAAACAATTTTATAAATAAGTAATGTTTAGCAAAAATAACACTTATTTATACAATTATCAAATCACCAATTTACACATTAAAGACTTTTACGCCATCTACTGGCTATTCGCTGCGATTGCACCTAACATCGTATAAAATTTGCTAAGTATGCAAAATGTAATTAACTTCAACCAGTTACACAAGAGTGTACATGGTGAACGATCGATCCCAATTATAATTTATAAAGCATATAAATAGTGTAGCGTCATCTAGTTCAAAATGTAAAAATATAAATCTCTAAAGAGAATGAAATTGCTTTTCACACACATTTTTTAATGACATATTGTTGATAGTTTTTTTTCCTATAACTGCAAAGATTTTTTTCCCTGCTGTTGACAAGCACGTTTGTCATTAGTTAGTTTGCTTCTGGTCAAGTGTTTCCTCTTTGCAGAGAATGATTGATGGTTGTTTCTGTGATGGTTACCAAAGAAAGAAGAACATTGCTCAAGTTGATCTAGACACAATACTAGGTCAGAAAAACAACTTTCGTCCAGTCAGATATCAACAAAGAAATGATAAACGCCAAGTACTTTAAGACTTAGAATGGCATTCGATTAATGGGATGGCCCAAATAAATAAAGTGAAATAAAAAGAATGTCAATCAACTCCTCGAGACAGTGATTTGTGATAATATCCTTTGCTAGGTTCGTAAAACACATATCTATAGAGCCAAGAAAAAATATTTAAAATTACCAGAAGTTTTAAAAGTTATTGTGAAAAAAAAAAAGACAGCAGAATATTATTGAAAACAAATTAAGCCCGAAAAAAAAAAGATATACACCATTTTTTACTGTCTATTTCCAGTTTTAGAAACTTCAACAGAAACAACTTTTCGTTCTGTTTATTTGATGCGAGATGATAGGAAGTAAGACATGAAATACAAAGTTGTGGATTTTTTTCAATATGGAACCAGAAAATATGGGGTTAATGATGATTTTTTTTATATATTTACACACATAATAGCAATAAACAAATTATTATGCTATATATGTTATTAACTAATGATATTGGAAATATCCCAACACGTCAACAATCTTGTCACAAAAAACCTGTGTTTTTTTATTATTATGTGGACAGGATATTAAAATTATGTTGTAAACGGGATGATATCAATAATTAGTTATTGTTAATTAAGCACATAGTAGTGGAAAGAGGTTTAATCCAGATGTTGTTGACAGAGCTGTCATAAAACTAAAAAACGGGGATAAAAATATTAACTTAAACCATTTTCTGATAAAAGTAAGAAAGAATGTTTAGTACTATCATATATACCTGATTTATCGTGTCAAATAATTAAAAAAAATTTAAAAAGCAAATTAATATTTTTCTGATATCCAAACCGATAAATAAAGTGAGCGAAATTCTTAATACAACTAAAGATTAAATTGAATTAATGGAAAAAATTGGCATATATATATAAAATATTATGTGAATATAAAAAAGTTTATATAGGACAAACTAGAAGAAATTTAAAATTCAGTCTGAATGAACATAAAAGAAATGTTAGAAATAATAATATTACTATTTCACCTTTAGCAGAACATGTCAGTGAAACTAATCACAGAATTCAATGGGGAAAAAAATTATTATTTTAGTACAACCTGGAAATGTAATTGGTATGAATATACGTGAATCTATTGAGATAATTAAATGTAAAAAAAAGTAAATTTAAATTATTGAATAAGGATGATGGACCTGATGGAAATGTTTCAACAACGATCATGAACAGCATAGATGTTTTCCGAACCTAAAAAACAATATATTTAAAAGTTACGGCTTAAACGGCGAAAGTTGGCGAAAATGTAGTGACCAATCCGCTCACGCATGCGAGATTTGCGGAGAGGAGGGGGTGGGGGTTCACTCACAAAACTTGCCAAAAGTAGCGCCTCACCCTCGATGGTCAGCAGTATGTACCATGTGACCAGTAATTTTATATCCTAAACTATTTACTAATCAACTTATTTTTGTTCAAGGCTTAGGTCTTTCGGACATGGGGTGCCAAAATTACTGCCGACATCTGAAGACATAACATGGATATAATTACAAAACCTTCGGGTTTTGAAAACTTCTTCTTAAAAATCATTCCCGCATTTATGAATACTCTTAACGTTTGTGGTAAAGTCACATAATCTGCAGATGCTATTTCATTGCCATAGGAAGCAATTTTGGAGTGGTCAGGCTATTGTCACATTGCCATTTCTAGGGGGGTCTTGGAGTATGCTATATAGGTTGAAATATATATGACACATAGTAGATAGAACCCGGAATTTGTAAGTTTTGTGTGAGTACACTCTCGACAAAAACCCAGGCATGTTAGTCAGGTTTTGTTACCAATCGCTCTCACTAAAACATTAAACTTGGTGTTGTCTTGGAGGTGAATGTAGAATTTAATGTTACTGGATACTGATATGCTGTCGTTATTGACTAATACACAATATTTCAAAGACTACAAGTTATTATTTGATTCTGTTACTGCGTGTTTCTTCTTTGTTGGCAGCCATTCAAAGCTAACTTTAAATTTCTAGAATTATTCTTATTAGATTTAATTTTATAACTCATATTTAGATTTTTCTATTAGTTCTTCAATATATATATGTTAGTAATAGTCAGAAATATTAAATCACAGCTTTGAGGCAATCACTTTTTTTAATGCAAATTAGAAAGGATGGTGAGCGTGAGAAGACAGAGGAAACAAAACTTTTTAACTACTGAGAAAAGCTTGGAGATCACTACAAAAGTTGCAGAGTTAAAATGTCAGTTTGATCCACCGATCTTTCTGGAATCAAAGAATAAGTTAGTCTTTAGAAGTTGCAATGTCAATTTGACCCACCAATCTTTCTGGAATCAAAGAATAAGTTAGTCCTTCAGGAGTTGCAATGTCAGTTTGATCCACCAATGTTTCTGGAATCCAAGAATAAGTTAGTTCTTCAGGAATT